TGCAACGTTTGTTTCAAAACTAAACGGTTGCTATTTTTGCCAGGCAAGTCATGCAGCTATTGCTGCTCATCTTAACAATGGAGACTATTCACTGATTAATGCTGTTTGTTCAAATTATCAAACTGCTCCAATTAGTAAGAAACTTAAAGCTCTTTTGACAATAGCAGGCAAAGTTCAGATCAGTGGTAAAGAAGTTACGAGTGACGATATCAATGCAGCCAAACAAGAAGGTGCAACGGATCTCGATATACATGATACAGTACTGATTGCTGCAGCATTTTCTATGTTCAATCGATATGTTGACGGATTGGCAATGTTCACTCCAACTGATCCCGAGTTTTATGATACTAGAGGCAAGCAAACCGCAATTCATGGCTATCAATCTTCTTAACCAAATTTTTCGAATCTATTTAAAATATTTTATTGGATTACTTGTTCTTGCATAATGGCTTCTCTCGTTACTTAACAGTTTTATTTTGTCATAATTTGCAAGATACATGATTGATTAAGAGATTCTTTTTCATCTGAACTTATTCGTAAGCAATAATAGGTAGTCGCAACATAACAGTTGAATACATCAGTAGAGAACGTGGATGGATAGGGTGTGGGTGTGTTTCTTTGCTACTCACACCCATACCCTCAAGAGGACTTTAAAATATAGGATGTAGATGAGCAACGTCTCTTCATGCACACAACTACTAAAACAAAGTTCTCCTTTATGCCATGTACAACCTTCTACATATCACTACAATGCTATCTAGATCAAAAAGTTTTTTTTTTATTAAAAGCTCACATCCTCTACGGATTGGAGTAGATTTTCTTTAAACAAAATAACTTTTGATTAAAATTTTGTAAACCGATTTATGTTATATATACAATCTCATTAATCAAATTTTAAAAAGTTAACTATCAAGCTTAATTGTTTTACAGAATCTTCAACTTTATAGCCAACAGAGAATTTAAAATAATTTTATTATATTTAAACCTAATTTTATTCATGTTCGCAAATGAGATATAGTCATGGTGATCATGTGTTATTTCGTTAATATTTTTTTTCGCTGTCTAAAAAAGAAAGGTAATGTAATTTCAGCTGTAAATGTATGGAAAAAATGTCTTTTGAGCACCAAAAAAAAAGACAATTGAGCACCTAATTAGTTATATGTGAAAAGAGCACCAAAAAATAAGACAAATGAGCACCAAATTAGTTAAGTGTGAAAAGAGCACCGAAAAATAAGACAAATGAGCACCAAATTTATTACATGTGAAATGAGCACCAAAAAATAAGGCAATTGAGCACCAAATGAAAAAAAGGATATTAAAGAGATAAATCAATTCTATTTTAAAAGAATCAAAGTATTATTCGAATATATACAGATGCTAAGTTGTGACGAGCTCAACTCAAATTGTATAATCTCATTCCTTTTTGTAAATTATGGTACACAAATGAGTAACGCTGTATATATACGACAAGCTTGAAAATTATAATAATATACATTTCTGTGAAGAATCAAAAAATGTGACACAAAGAATATCAACTTTTGAATATCGTCTAAACACTCGATAGAGCTAATCAAGGGTGTGGGTGTGGATATGGGTGCACGAGTAGATCCTCTCCTTACACTTACACCTACACCACACCCTGCTTTCTAGTTTCTCCACTCAAATCATGTACATGTCCAACTGGCACGAAGTTATATTTATACAAACATTCAGTTGGCTTAGCAATATTACTGAAACATTATGAATTAACTGATAAAACTCGTTCGGAACTTTTAGGTAAACGACGAGGAAAAGGTTGAACAAAAAAAGTATGATCTGTTTTATTATTATAAAATGGGCTTTTCATTTTTTTTTTTGTATATTGATTTCGTACGCATATCTATTATGTATCCTATTTGTTTTTTTTTGTTATTAATGTACAAATTTGTTGTTCTTATGTCATATGTTTGAATTTAGTGCTCAATTGTCTTATTTTTTGGTGCTCATTTCACATGTAATAAATTTGGTGCTCATTTGTCTTATTTTTCGGTGCTCTTTTCACACTTAACTAATTTGGTGCTCATTTGTTTTATTTTTTGGTGCTCTTTTCACATATAACTAATTAGGTGCTCAATTGTCTTTTTTTTTGGTGCTCAAAAGACATGTCGTCCTAAATGTATTCTCTTTTCTTCACTCATTCATTCATAGTCACATTTTATTTAAGAAGAAACAACACCTCATAGAAAAGTACATATTTTTTAAACAAATAATGGCTACTAATGCTTCTGCATAGAAACTGTGCGCTACATGTGAGACACTTCCTGCTGAACAAAAACTCAAACCAAGTACAGTAAAACTTCTCTAATGTGAACATCGTCGGGACCAACCAAAATCGTTCAGATTAACAGGGCGATCACTTAAGGGAGTTCCAGCAAAAAGGAATCAATACGTAAATTCGAGTACTCGTTACATTTTTTCGAGTATTTTTTATTTGATTCACTAGTTTTTTTTACTATTTTCAAGAGATTACATATTATTATGCTTTAAAATTTCCTGATTGATCATCAAGTTCTTCAGCAACTTTTCTTGCATATTCTTGTAATACTGAAACAAATATAGGAATCTTTTTGGTTCTTTGTGCAACAAACCATTCATAAACAGTATCATTAATCGTTTGACTAAAATCATCTTTCAGCTTTCGTTTCATTTTTTGTTTTGATTTGTTTCATAATCATTAATATATTCGTTTTTTTTCTTTTGAGAATGTTTGAAACAGCACCGAGAGACTCTTGGAACTTGTCTTTTATTTCACGATGAGATAAACCACGTTCTTTTTCTTTGATGAGATTTATCTTTTGTTCTAGATCAAGTTTATTTCGCGATGTCATAGCTAATATTAAGATGTAATGCAGCTAACAAAAATCATAAATAACATTTTTTCTTTTTTTCTCTGTTCTCTCTGTTGAATTACGGATCCAATGGGATGAGCAATAATAGCCTCCTTATAACTATAAAAATGAGGGTGGGTGTGAGTGTGGGTATGGGTGTGTGGGTGTGAGGGTGGGTGTGGGTGTGGGTGTGGGTGTGTGGATGTGGGTGTGTGTATGGGTGTGAGGGTGGGTGTGGGTGTGAGGGTGGGTGTGGGTGTGGGTGTGGATGTGTGGATGTGGGTGTGGGTATGGGTGTGGGTATGGGTGTGTGGGTGTGAGGGTGGGTGTGGGTGTCGGTGGGTGTGCCTGAAGAAGCGAACAAGCACTGACACCAACACCCAAACCCACACTGACACCCCACACCCACACCCACACCCATATCCACATCCACACCCACATCCACTCACACCCACACCCAACACCCACACCGACACTCACACCCACACCCACCCTCAAGCTACCGTTGTGAGATGGATGTGAATGGACATAAAAAATACTCATATACAGACAGGCTCGCCTTCACTCTATGCCAGTCTGGCGAATTCTATAGGGAGAATGCAAGCATAATAATAGTATCTAGACTGATATCCACTCTCATCATTCGATAAAGATTGCTCTCGAACGAAGACGAAGTAAATGGATGTATAGTCTTGCTACAACATTTACAAAAGGATCAAGTATTGGAAAGCAAAATAATCTTGTCCTTATCTTATGATTTATGAGGACCACGTTTTTGCAACAGAAAGAGAAAAAAGACGCTGTCTAAGGCATTAAATACTTATCAAGTAATTTATTTCATTTCATTTCTCGTCGATCACAAAGGAGAGGATTTTTGAATAGTCAAACGGTGTTCCAATCACTTTTGTGAACAACATTATATCTATTATAGAAGCATCTAAAACCCCGTGATTTATCAATGCAGTTTATGAAAACGCAGTCATTCGCACTATTACTCTGCGCTCTACTTCTTGGTTTCGAAACTACCAATACAGCAACCTTGAGATCCAAGAAGAATATCGATGCAACGATTGAGTACTATAAAAAGCTTATAGCTGGTGATACTAGCAAGCTTTCTGAGCTGAATATTCTTTTAACAGCCATGCCTAAAGGTGGTGATTTGCATCATCATTATTCAGGTGCCATCTATGCTGAAACTTATTTAAACTGGGTTGATAGACACAACTATTGTGTTTACCGCGAAGATAATACAATATTAAATATTCAAAAATACAGGATAGAAACTAAAGTTGTCGAGCTATCAGACGCGGCTAAAGCTCTGTGCATTACAGCTGATGCAATACGTCTAGATAACGGCTTCTATCGTGAAGTTTTGAAACGTTGGTCTGACATTGATTA